TTTTTTTTTTTTTTTTTTTTTTTTTGTACCGGGGATAGAACTTGGGTCCTGTACTTGCGAGGCAGGCGCTGGAACTACTGAGCTAAATCCCCCGCCCAAAACAGATTTTTAAAATGGTTTCTTTTGCCCCACAGCCAGAAGCATGGAGAATTTTTCTTTTGTATTCATTATAAGGCAGTGGTAAAGCTGCAAGAGGTAAAACTCACAAAGTTGTTTTCCCTCTCCATCTTCCCTAGGCCCCTGTGCCTGGGTCCTTATGAAGTTTATATGATCTATATGCACTGAGCTCTAGCAATTGTCCATCACATTCTACATTTTTCTACCTCTCCACAGTTACATAGAGGTTTTAGCTTCTGAATTACTGCTCCAGTCAATTGTGATTCTCTGTTTATACCTGGCTAGTGATCCAGTTTTGTCATCAATGGTTTGCTCTTATGACCTTACTTACCTCTCAGAGATCTAAAAAGAGTTGATTTTTTTTTCAATTTGTTCAGCTTTTTTTTGTTGTTTGGACAGAATGGTGACTTTTTCTTTGTACCAGAGATTGAAATCAGGACCTTGCACTTACAAGGCAGTTGTGGCGCCACTGAGCTAAATCCCTGGCCCTGATTGAATGGTGACTTTGAGTTTCTTACATGCCAGACTAGAAATCAAAAGTCTAATTTGTAGTCCAAAACTAGAGCATAATTCAGATTCTAATTTTATAGGAAGAATGAGGGAAAGAGTTAAAAAGCCAGAAAACTTTGTGTCAAATAAAAAACAAGTTACCTTTTCCAAACAGTAAAATGTGGGTGTTTCTAAGCAGTACAGAATTCCAACGGCTCACATCCAGCATTGTGGATATAAGTGCAGTACCTGAGCATGTGTATAGAGATAGGCAATCTAGCTGTAATCCTTCTGTGGAGGGTTGGTTTGTTTGTTTCCTCACCCATTTGAAATTTAAAAACTAAACTCTGAAGTGCTGCGCTAAAAGGTAGAAGGAAAAAGTAGTTTGGGGTTTCTTTCCACTGCAGTGGAGTATTCAAGTACAGTAAGAACCAAAATTCTGGGGCTGGGGATTTAGCTCAGTGGTGTTGCCCTCTGACTGGCAAGTGCAAGGTCCGGAGTTCGATCCCCAGTACCAAGAAAAAGAAAAAGAAAAAAAAGAACCAAAGTGCCTATTAGATTGTGCATTTTTTGGCCAGGAATTTAGCTCAGTGGCACCATGACTGCCTGGCAAGTGCAAGATCCTGAGTTTGATCCCTGGTACTGGAAAAAAAAATAGATTGTACATTTGTTTTGGGTTGGCATGCACTACTGTTTCAGTACTGTACAAAAGGCTGCTGTGACATCTGTAGGCTTAGTTTCTGAAGGGACTGGAAATGTCTGATGTTTTTCAGTGAAGCTATCACTCTACCTGTACTTTCATTGCTTTTGTTTACAGTCTTGCTGTGTTACATCTCAAGTGGTTTGTGAAGTTAATGAAGCTAGCATAAACCTGGAAGGTTAGTTTTATCCTGCTGATTTGTTTTGTTCATTGAGAAAGGTATTTCAAGGTTAAAGGATATTGCTTAAGGTTGTACATCTATAGAAATTTTCTTGGTACTGATTCCAAAGGTGATGATTTGATATGGTGCTTGGAGAATTTTTTTAAATACCAGAACAGTTATATAAATATTCCATTGTACCTACAAAGCCAACACCACTGACCCCACAACCATGTGCCTTCAGTACATAACTGAAGGTATTTTCCTAATAGAAGACAAGGGGTCTGCAGTGAACTTTCCACTATCTCTCTGCTGTTTCTCATAATGGCCAAGCCATCTGAAAGGCTTTGATATTGTGACATTGAGGTAAAACTTCGTCTTAGGACTGTACTGTCTAAACTATTAACAGTTTAGGTTGTATAACTATCCGTATTTATTTTTAAAAAACTGATGGTGCACTGTGATAATTACTGGTAGAGGAACTGCTAGTGATCACAGCTGTGCCTGAAGTAGATCTATTTCTTCATTGTCATAGCAGTGTTAGTGAACAGCACAAAGGCTAAACATAATTTCTTTTTTTTTTTTTTCCAGCACTGGGGATTGAACCCAGGACCTTGTGTTTGCAAGGCAGGCACGTTGCCACTGAGCTAAATACCTGGTCCTAAACAAAATCTTTAAACAGAAATTAAAGCCAGGCTACTATTGAGGCTGAGCCACAAGGATTGCAAGTTGCAGGCTGGGCTGGGCAAGACCCTGTCTCAAAAGCAAAATTCTGTCTCATAAAATTTATAAAAAAGCTAGGGGCATAATTCATTGGTGGAGTGCTTGCCTAACATGCATGAAGACCTGTGTTCAATCCCCAATACCAAAAATCACACAAAATAGAAAAGAGATGCATATGTGTTGTACATTCTGACTAAGCACATATTATGTAACTTAGAAGGCAAAACAGATCAGGCCCATGGTGTATTAGTGATAAATTTCAATCTCTTACAGTTTCCACTTATTGAAAGTGACCAGAGAATCTATATTTATTAACTCATTTATTCATTGATATCTGTTTCTCAGCATCCTGTTCTCTATCTTCACTACTTTGTGTTTTAGTATTTTTAATGTGTTAGATTCATTAGTCCAGATTGATAATCAGATGACATTAATATTTCAGTTTGAGGAAAAGAGAGGCTATATAACCTTAAAATAAAATTTTCATTAAGTCATGCTTTTAGGCTCTCTAAGGAAGTCCTGGTAATTATAATGTAGCTAATACTGTGTTTTTAAAAAACCCATTAAAACTGGGCGTGGTGGTACACACCTGTAATCCCAGCACTGGAGAGGCTGAGGCAGGAGGATCACTGCAAGTTCAAGACCAGCCTGAGCTATATAGTGAGTTCCAGATCAGTCTCAACTACATAGTAAGACCCTCTCTCAAAAAAAAAAAAAAAAAAAATTAATAATTTTTTAAAAATCATTACTGTTTTTTTCCCTCCCCTGAGCTAGCTCATTATAAACTTCATACCCCTTCAGTTCTTCTTTTCTATCCATAGCTTCTCTATAATGTATTAATTGAAGTTAAATGAAACACGTTTTCAAGTTGTAATTACCCTAATGAAGTCATATGTAAGCATCAGCTGGTAAGTCTAACATCTCTAACTAGTGATCTCTTTGGACTAAAGATTTCTGACCAAGTCCAGTACTCAGTCTAGAAGTCTAGGCAATAAGAAAAATACTCTGAAATACTTGTGTTGTGGTGAATTGGGCTTATAGAATCATTTTACCTTTCATTTTGGTTTGTTTCAAGTAGCTGACTCTTTTTGGTTTTTTTGAGACGAGATCTCACTATGTAGTTGAGACTGACCTGGAACTCACTATGTAGTTCAGGCTGGTCTCAAACTCACAGTGATCCTCCTGCCTCAGCCTCCCAAGTGCTGGGATTACAGGAGTATGCCACCACTCCTGGCTGCTGACTCATTTTTTAAAAAGGTAACCTAACTGTGGTGGCACACACACGCCTGTAATCCTAGCACTCGGGAGGCTGAGGCAGAACTGCCATGAGTTCAAGACCAGCCTGAACATAGCAGAGCCCTGTCTCAAAAAAAAAAAAAATCCCAGCATAATTTAAATTTCCCCTTAATTTGTTATAAGCATTAACAATAATTTTGATTTTGTGTACTTTCATTTCCCTTTATTACTAAAATTGTGAATTAAATATTAAATGATTTTGAAGAGGTAGGGATAAGGAGCTCTAGAGTCTGATTAATGTAAAAATTAGATAAATACTCATGGGACTTGATGATCATCATTGATGATCAGCTGGTAGGGACTGGCATGATTTCACTTTTTTTCTATACAGCCGCAACTTAGCAAGAGAAATACATTCATTTAAACTTAGCAGAAATACATTCATTTAAAGTCTAACTCATGTCTTCTCTTCCTGAAGGTGCACTTACAGAGTGCTACGATGAACTGGGGAATAGATATCAGCTTCCAGTGTATTGCTTGGCACCACCAATCAACATGATCGAGGAAAAGAGTGATATAGAGACTCTGGATATTCCTGAGCCCCCGCCCAATTCTGGATATGAATCTCAGCTCCGTTTGCGTCTTTCCACGGGCAAAGACCTCAAACTTGTGGTACGCAGCACAGACACGGTGTTCCACATGAAGAGACGGTTACACGTAGCAGAAGGAGTGGAGCCTAGTAGTCAGCGGTGGTTCTTCTCTGGCAGACCTCTCACTGACAAAATGAAGCTGGAGGAGCTGAAGATCCCAAAGGACTATGTTGTACAGGTGATAGTGAGTCAGCCTTTGCAGAACCCAACTCCAGTCGAGAACTGAACTGGTCCTGCTGGCTGGTTCCCACATTGCTCTACTCCTTTGTATTGTTGTCATTTGCTACTCTATGGCGTGAAATTTATTTTCACTGCTCTAAATTCCCTATGAATGGATTTAGTTCTGAGGAATTACCAGTGAAAAATTCCATCTGTGATGGAGACCAACAAAAATAATAAAACACAAAGAGCCAGCCTTTGAGACTCATGTAATTACAGTTTCTAATTTGAGGCAGTTAAGAAATAGATAACCATGTATTTTAGAATATTCAACCACATAATAGCTGTATTTAAATGATTTGGAGTGTAAATGAAACATTGTACTCATGAAAAACAGCACCAAGCACCTTTTGAATACAGAGTTTTTTTTAAAAAAAAATATATACTTCAAATTATATAATTTCCAGAAATAGTAACAGATATAAAACTTCTTTTTTAATGGAATCTGGAAAGAGCAGTTTTTGAGGTTTTCTTCTATTCTGTTTTTTTTTATTCACATTCATTTCTTATTTACTCCTAAATGAGTAGAGACTGGCAAATTGTGTTTCATTGTTACTTTCCCCATCCTTATACCTTAAGCTTCTTATTTACAGTCACACTAAATTTTGGTGCCTTCCATACATTAGTGGCAGGCACCCTTCTGGAACACTAGGCAATAATTTAGTCAGTGCAGTCAGATTTTTGATTTTCAACTGATAGGCAGTTGAAAATGCTCTTGTCCTTTTGCTGCATAAATGTTTTGAAATATATAGAGAAGCGCTTTTAATATTCAGGCTTAGAAGGTCACTACTATATATATGCCTTTATTGATTTATCTACTTGGCTTGGACCTTTTCATAGTTAGCCAGGAAACACAGGAATCTAGGACAGCTGTTTCCACTACAAGATCACAAAATGATTCTCTCTTCTCCACTTTGCAGGAGTGGTATAAGGAAAACCATTCTTTGTGTGCCTATGAGAATTGTGCCTATTTTCAGTTTTCTAGAGAAAATTTCAACTCAAAATTTATAAGTGTGGCATCACGTCTGCCTCACAAGCACTAGGTGCTGAGTTCAATCCCCAATACCATAAAAAAAAAATTTACAAGTGTGGAAGGTGTATTGGTGTCACTTGCTTGTAGTCAGGGTGGGTGACAATTTTCCTCCCTCATCTTTCATAGCAAAGAGGCAGATGCAGGATCATATACAAATTAGATTAGGGAATTAAAAATCTGGTGAGATAACCTGATTCTTCTATACTAGGACTGGAGTGAAGCTGCCAGGGAGAGACTAGGTTTAATTTGGAGCCTCTTAAAGGTTGGTTCCATAAGTGAGAAGGAAGCTAACAGGACCGTGCTGTACCCTGAGAATGCAGGAGATTGAAAAGTAGAGGCAGTAAGGCACCTAATGAATGCTATTCTCAATTGGGAAATATCAGACCTCTACAACTATTTGGATATAAAGCACCACTGTTAATTTAATGACAAAATGAAACTACTAATTAGTTTACATGTAACATTTTAAATGGTATTAAATTTCCAATAGCCTGATTAAATATATCTGTAACTGTAACTTACGTTTCTGAGAGCTTTAACTACTTCCCTAATTTGATTCAATCATTTTAAAGAGTATAGCTACATCTAATTTAGGTTTGCTGATTGATTGAATTGAAATTCAAGACAGCAGCATTAATTCCAAAGGCAAATTTTTATACATAGAGGTGGAAATATGAAGGTATTTCAGTATGTTACCCTGTCATCCAGGAGTTTTGTTCTTTTGTGTGCCACATCAAGCAGCAGTATCTCGCAAAGTTCATCAGCTGGAGAAAAGTGTTCAAAAAATCATTTTCTTCAAGAAATTTGGTGATGTCATCAATAATACATGGTTTATAAAGGGTCTTGTTTGTGTGTTGAGGATTTGACGTCTCTTTGAGAGTTCATTTTATTTTAAAGGAACATATACTCTTAATAATTCTCTGGGCATGTTTAACCTAGGTGACAAACCATGGTGCTGTTTAATTGTCAGTAGACTGGTTTAAGACTGGACCAATACTTGATTGTATAATTTCAGTATGTAGGGTTTTTGTGTTGTTTTTTTTAAAAAAAAAAAAGTTTGATTTTTCTCTTTGTCTTTGCCTGTATTCTGAATTCTTTAACTTGCTCCCTATGTACGGATAATCTGCCTCTTTCTAATGAGAAGTATGAAGGTTTTCATTCTTTCTAAAATCTCATCTGAATAAATAACAAGATCTTTATTACCAAAACTTAGGCTCTTACGCTCTGCTGTGCCAAATCATCAATAGTCACTTATAGATATGCTTTATCTTCTACAACAGATTATTTTCCTCTTAAGAATCATGCTGCAGACCAACTTACAATTAAGTTTTTCTGAAGAACTAAGCTTATTTATTATCCATTTTTTGATTAAATGGCAAGTTTGGTTGAGGGGTTGTTGTTGGTTTGAAATACTAGAGTTAGCCCAGGGCTTGTGCTGGGCAAGTGCTCTCAACCACTAAGCTCAGTCACTGGCCCCTTTTTATTTTGAGACAAGGTCTTGTTGGGGTACCCAGGCTGGTCTTGAACTTGTAGTTCTCCTGCTTCAGCTTCCTAGTACCTGGAATTACAAATGGGCACCCTGCCAGCTTTTGTTCTGTTAATTTTTTATTTAAAATAAGTGATACATGCTTATGAGAAAAAAAGCAAATATACCAAGGTAGAAAGAGTCTCCTATCCATTCCTGTCCCTTATCTCCTATTTCTCCTCCCTAGAGGTAACAAATTTATTTCTTTGCTGGGTAGCTTTATTTTTATTTACTTAACATTTTATTTTATATTGTACCATGCAGTGCTAGGGATTGAATCCAGGGCCTTGGGCATGCTAGGTAAGTGCTTTACCACTGAGCTACATCCCAGCCATCTGGTTAGCTTTATAGATACTTTAGGCCAGACACCGAAGTACAGGCCTTAATCCTACCTACTTAGGAGGCTGGGGCCGAAGGATCAAAAGTTTGTGGCCTTGGGCTGGGGATTTAGCTCAGTGGTGTGGCTGCCTGCCTCACAAGTACAAGGACCTGAGTTTGATCCCCGGTACCAAAAGAAAAAAAAAAATTTGTGGCCAGCCTGGGCTGCTTATGTCAAGACCTGGTTTCAAAAAAGGGCTGGGGATATGGCTCAGCCAAAGAGCATTTGTCTAGCATGTGTGAGGCCCTGAGTTCAAGTCCCATTATAGGAGAGAAAAAAAAAAAAACAGTGGTTCTCAAAACTTGCACGTGTCGGCCTCCCAACTTGATTGGGATTCTAGGTGTGTGCCACCATGCCCAGCCTGACCAGTTTTTTGATCTGTGGTAGTCAGGTAAGTGAGAAAATTTGTCCTATGGTTTTATGTTGTGTTTTTCCTACAAGTAAAGTTTGCCATTTTCCTGTGTATTTTAGAGATATTTGTATTTTTTCTTTCTGTGAATTGTCTGTTTGCCCATATCCCTAACGTATTTTGGTCTTTTCTCTTTCTGTAGTCCTTTTTTGTCAATGCTATCATTGCTCTGCATGTGTGTGTCATTGTGTGCAAATTTCAAGTTTTTCACAGTCAGATTCATCAGTGTCTTACGGCTTATGTATTCTGCCAGAAATTGTTCCCACTCTGAGATTATACAAACCTTTTGTGTTTTTAGTATTTCTTTTATGGTTTCAGTGTTACATGGGGTTTATTTGTGTGAGAGGAGTAGAATAACAGTCCAGATTTGTTTTTTCCAAGATAGCTGCCCCACTTTTCCTGATACTAACTGAAATCATTTTCACCCATCTTTTTCCCATTCATCTGAGGCCCTTGTTTTTAAACAAGTTGACAGCTTTTAAAGTAATATGCTTTTTAAATGTTGTTTTCTTGTTCATTGGACAGATTAGCAGATATGCCCTGTGTCTGCTTTCCAGCTAATACCATGATTTAATTTTACTTATGAAGAGGGAAAGGAAGAAGAGCACAGCTGATAATCTCCCTTGTGACAACCAGTCCTGTGATTTCAGTCAGTTGGAGTCTCTGTGATATGGCCTCTTTAACCTGTCCTTCCTCTGGTTCTGTAAATGTCTGTCAGCCGGGTGACTGTTCATTTCTGTCAGCAAGGTTGATTTGCCTTTTTCTAGTCTTTGTCATATAACCCTCTGGATGATGAGAAAATGTAGTGGAAAAAATTGCTTTACTTAGCTCCTTCCAAAATTCCTTCCTTGTTATAGCTGATACTGATTGTGGAGAAATCTGCTGCAGCCCTGGGCTGAAATCATAGCTGAGTAAGCATCTCTCCCATCAGCCTGCCCTTCACATTCCTCCGCACGTGTGCCCCTCTCCCCATTGCCTGCACCGCAGAACACATATGTGACCAAGAAAGTTCAGTGCAACAATGCAAATTCAGAGTAGTTCAGACCGAAAGCATCTACACACCTCTGGATTTGTGTGTGTGTGCACACTGAGAATAGAGCCCAGGGCCTCAGTGCTGAGCTCTCTTCATTGCTGAGCAACGTCTCCAGCCCGTTTCTATACATGCAAACATTTTTAAGGTCATATAATGTAAATGAGGGGGAAAGTCCTGAAGTGGACATGGATAGGTTGCTTTCTTTGCATTCCTAGTCCCAAAGAAGTAACTTCACTGGTGCATTTGAATTTTAGTTTTTATACTGCAGTGTAGGCCCATCAGAAATAAATGTTTCCAGGCACCATTTTGAAAAACACTCATTTTATGAAGTTTGTGAGGGGTTTTGTTTTTTGGGGGGGGGAGTCTTCTGTTTTGTTTTTTTGTTTTGTTTTGTTTTTTGGTACCAGGGATTGAACTCGGGTCCTTGCGCTTGCAAGGCCGGCCACCGAACCGCTGAGCTAAATCCCCGGCTCCCCTGTTTTGTTTTTTGAGCCAAAA